AGTTTGTGTTAAGTAAAAGAGCTGTATTTTCTAAATCTTGGTTTTCAAGCCCCACCTTTCTAGCCAATTTTTCTTTGTAATACTTGACTTAATTGGAACTTTTTCTATATGGTTTTGTAGCTTGAGAATAGGTAGTTGTAGTGGGCCTATTCTCAAAAGGAGTGTATTTTTAGTTTTGGTGCAATTGTGTTGTCAAAATCATCATTTTTAGGTGACAAGAGATGGGAAAGTCATGCATTGGTAGACTGCATATACTAAAAGAAAAGGAAAGTTTCAGCAATTATAATGCATGATTAATGTCAAGTTTTATTGTATTATTGTACATAAAATCACACTTTTATTAGCAATAATAATACTTTTTATCATTGTTTTATTTTTATTCTGAATGAAAACGTAATATGACGTATTTCCGGGGAAACAAGCCTCAGAACATCCGGTCGGGCCGTGTTTCATATCCAGGGGTATATAGTATCTATGGCTGAACTGACAAAACGGCCGGTTCGCCGATTTTTGACTTTTCGCTTAGACAAGGTCTAGAGCCACGCTAGTTGTACCATTGGAGTCCTTTGGTCAAGATAAGGTCCTCTATAAAGTCTGGTAAGCATAGGAGCTCGTTTTCCAGGTATAGCAAGGCTGCAAAAGTCGTGGCAGCCATTTTGTTTGGGGGTGAATCCTACTTAGTAACGCTACCGCGTTACTAATAGTCCAGGAACTTTGCCCCAATTTTGGAGCAACTTCAAAAATTCATAAAAATATAAATTTGATTGAAAACAGCTCAAACTTTTTACGCAACACAAAAACATGTATATGCATTAGAAAAAAATTATTAAAATGGTAAATTTTCCCCTTTCCATTTTTGGTGAAATTTGGCCCACGTTCCTGGACTATAGTACAGGGAATTTGACCCAATTACGGAGCAAATTAAAAAATTCATATAAAATCCAAATTTAATCAGAATCAGTTCAAATTAAAAAAAAAAAAAAAATTACACGTATATGTATCTTGTAGCAACATATCTCATAGAATATAATAATAATAATAATATCAAATATTATTATTACTCACTGATTGAAGTGTCCATTAACTAATGCTAAATATTCTTTATGTACTTGTCTGTCTCTTATCTGCTCCTCAATCTCCTGCACTTTTGATATTCTTTTACCAAACAACAACAAACCAGAGGTACACTTATCTAACCTATGAATAGCTGAAAACAAAAATAACAAAAAATAGTAATTAATATTAATATCTTACTGTATATATTATCAATGTCGTATTCATTTTTCAATATATTAATCATTGTGTTCTGCCTGTATCTACCACAAGGATGTACCTATTAAGTAAAACAAAATAAATCACACACAACACAACACAAAAATTACTACGTTATTACAGGTGAAAATTTACAAGATAAAGATTACTAAATTCTAGTCATTTACTGTAAGGTGAAAATTACCAAAAATTTTAAGCGAAAAGTATTATTCATTCATTGTTATTATAATAATCATACTGGTATAGAAGGTGGTTTATTGACCACCAGTAGATCTTTATTGTTAGTTATTATATTAATTGATTGGGAGGAGACTGGAGGCTCGTGTCTATGAACCAAATGAGTTACAACATCATTATCCTTGATGACAGTTTCCATGGTAGCAACTTTACCATTTACTACAAACAAACGATAATTTTAAAATTTAATTATTTTAATAATAATTTAATAAATTACCAGTAACTTTGCCGAGATTAATAGCTCTTTCCTACAATAATAATAATAATAATAATAATAATAATAATAATAATAATAATAATAATAATAATAAATAACCACACCCTTTTGCCAAATATGGTTAAAAGGCTTACGTAATATTCTGGTTTTTCACTTTGAAACTCTTCACTAAAAACATCATAAACCTTCCGACCAACCCATCGACCTTTAGCGTGAGTAGAAAACTTGAAATAGTAAGGGATCACGTGCCTCAGACCTGAAGGACAGAAAGATCATGTGACTGCGTGGGCGTACCTAATACTAACCATTTCTAAAGAAATAAATAGACTCATCTTTTAAAGGCTGAAGCTCCATTCTCTTTGGAACAAACTGGACTCCATCATCCTCTTGTCTTTCGTCAGGAGAGGCCTTCCTTTTAATGGGTTTTGTAACGGACGCCATCTTTATTTCATACAAACAGCCACGTGCTCCCACGTGTGATAGTTTCCTATCACGTGATCTAAATTGAAGGTGTGGCTCAAGCTCAACATGGCTGCTGTATACAAGAGATTTTTGTCACAGCTCCATCCTCCTCCTCTTAGAAAGAGACTATTACCTGATGGATCGTTATCAGGTAAGACAGCTCTAGTGACTGGTGGAGGGACAGGACTGGGTAAAGGAATAGCTCAAATGATGGCAGAATTAGGAGCTGGAGTGGGCATTGCTAGCAGGTATGAGCAAGCAAGTACCATGTAGCACAAATTGTTTTGCTGTTTTTTTTTTATTTTTGGAATTTTTGAAATTTGGCATTTGAGGAAATTTTTAATTTTTAGCTGTATTTTTGAATTTTTAAGTTTCACGGATTTTGTGATCCTTTGAGGATTTGAGAATATTAATTCGTGAAAATTAAATTGTTACACTACAAGATGGTAGACAGTATAAATTCGCGAAAATTAAATCAGCGAGATAGATTTTAAGGCAAATTTGGAAATTTACAGCCCTCAAAGATTTGCATAATGAAGAGAGGGAAGATGGAGGGAGAGAGAGAGGCAGGGATAGAAGACGGGAATAATTCGAAACTTTTAAACTAATTTCATTGAAAGTTACAGCCTTTGCATTGTACATGTAAATGTAGTGTTTGCCCACAATTGATATTACCTTTAGTTTAGAATAATACTTTAATTGATATTTTGTATTTCAATTAGGAAAATGGAGGTTGTACAAAAAGCAGCTGAAGAGATGAGCGACAAGACTTCCTCTAAGGTACAATTAAATTATCAAATTAAATCAATTGTTCATTAAAGTATTGAGAGGACTTGAATTAAAATTTTTGAATGTGTGGTTGTCAAAAAATATTTTAGTGTGCATACATAAAGTGAGAGGAGTTTTTTTGTAAACATTAATGTGTCTAATCGAAACACTTTGTCCCTATAGAAGATTTACACATGCATAAAGTGAATGTGTACATATACTTGTAAATGCAACATTGCAACATTTTATATAGTAAATTTTAATGGAAAAACTAAATTTACAGCACATAGGTCATACCTTATAAGGAGCATTATACATGTACATGTAGACTGTACATTAGGTTTCACACTCAGAAATTACAATACATGTAATATCGAGAAATTAACATGTACACATACACGTAGCTAATTTTACTCCTACTTTAAATTTTAACGAAATAATTTGCTATTCTTCATCCTCATTAGGTCGTACCATTTCAATTAGACGTACGTGATCCAGTGGCTGTCAGTAGAGTAGCTGATGAATTCACTGAGAGTATGGGTGGTCTCCCTGATATTATAATCAACAATGCTGCTGGGAACTTTATATCACCCACAGAGAGACTGAGTCCCAATGCATTCCGTACTATTGTGGATATAGTACTGATGGGTACTGCTCATGTATCACTGGAATTTGGGAAAAGATTGATCGCCGCAAAGAAAGGTTTGTTATTGAAAATATACAGTATTGTAGTATTTAGTAATAATAGTACTAGTATTTATTATAATGCTAATGTTCTACATGTACTTAATGTTATCCTGTACTCTGCATATATTGTATTACTAACACGGTAGCATTATTAAGTACATGTAGGATTCATCCCACTTCAAAATGGCTGCCACGACTTGCTACATTATGTACTAGGAATGGGTGTGTATGTACATGTACATGTACATGTATATGTATGAAACATGTATTGCTTGGTGGTGCTTAATTTTTGCTATAAAAGCTTCTACCGTATAAGGAGTATATTTCACATGTATTTCATTTCGCAGTTTTTAAAAATTTGTGAAAATTTTATCTATGAAAATTATTTTTAAAATCAAACTAATAGTTGTCAGTAGAAAAAGACGCAAAATTTTTTCTTGTGAATAGGTTGAATGGTGATTTTTGTAAAATATTTTCCCTGGGAAATATATCCCCTATACGGTAATTTCGCAATTTTTGATCATGTGCACTATAAGTATGCGTGTACTTGCACATGTACATGTACAGTGCATGTACATGTACATGTACATGCATGTGCATTGAAGATTAGGTCTTTTAATATTGACAATTTATCATTTGCAAATTGCCTATATTATTGTTAT